TTTTGTTGACGTTTTGGGATCCAATTTCGGCTACGCGTCGCTCGTTGATCCATTTGGGAGCTACACATAGTACTCTAAGTTGGGCCGTACAAAAGCTTGGTACAAAGGAACGAGGACCTCTGGGTCTTTAGAGTATACCGTTCTGCGCAGCCTGTACAGTGCTGCATTTGCTCTGCAAGCAGCTAGGCAACACTGACGTGAGGATGAGAACGTGGAATTTACGGTGATCCCTAGATCCATCGCCTCGGTGCTTAGCTCGATTTCTCCGCTCTCAGATTCCCCCAGGTACCGAGGATTACCCACCGGCTCTCCCGTGCGCAGAAGTTTGCACATGTCGCTGTTCAGAGGCAGGCTCCATTCTGTGGTCCATGCTTGTACTCTGTTTAGGTCCCTTTGCATCTCTTCGTTGTCGGGAGAAGCTTGAATTTTGGCATCATCGGAAAATAATAACAGCGGGTTTGCTACACACCGTGCCAAGAACAACAACGTTTCAAAGACGGAGCCCTGAGGCACTCCGCTGTGCACTTGCCCTCCTTCAGAAAATTTGCCGTTTACCCGGACTTGGAATGTGCGACCTACTAAATAACTCCGAAGCCATTTTCGGAGTTCAAGATGCAATCCTGACTGTGACAATTTCATCAGGAGTAGTCCATGACTCATCGAGTCGAAGGCTTTCCTAAAATCTAGATAGCATACTTCGACACGTTCACCCCTGTCAAGTCTGTCCGTAACTGCATCCAGGTAGGCTAACAGATTTTTTAAGCAGGACCTACATCGTCTGAATCCATGCTGAGCTTCCGTCAGTAGGTTGTTCGCTGTAAAATGACTGTTCATTTTGTCACGAATCACCCTCTCCATAACCTTTAGTACTCCTGAAAGCAAGCTCACTGACCTATAGTTTGAGGGAGCATCTCTGTCTCACCCCTTATAGATAGGGTTATCTATGGCCGCTTTCCAGTCCCTTGGGAGGATTGCTGTCTCGAGTGACTTGGTAAATAGGTTGGCTACTGGACGTGCTACAATACTCTTCAGTGGTTTTGAGATCGCTGGACGTATGTCATCTGGACCTGCAGATTTGTTTTTGTCTAACGCTTCGATATTTTTTTCCACTTCCTGTGGCTCGCTTAGGAGTTTATCCTTAGGGCACTCCGTCGTGATACTGTGATCCGGCAGAGCATTGCCCAGATCCACAGTGTACGACGCTTCATAATGTTGTTGTAGAGCGGAAGCCTTTTTTAAGCAAGTGAGAGTTGGGTTGCCACCGGTGTCATGGATACTTCCGATGGCTTCCCTAGTGGCTGCCTTCGACTGTACATAACCGTAATATGCTTTCCGGCGCGTCTTACGCTTCTGTGCCAGTGTGAGCTCATAGCGTTTGTTTGAATTGGACTGGGCCCTATCGTAGGTCTTGCGCTCCTTCAAGTATTGAAGATATCTCGAGTGGCCGTTGGTGGCGGTGAACCTCTTCCAGGCTGCCCGCTTTCTGCTCAGTAATTTAGCTAACAGTCGAGACCACCACAGTGGCCTGTTGGGTCGTCCATGGGGAAATAATGGTGCAAAGGCATCGGCCAACAAGATGAGGTTCGTTTTAATTCGGTCCCAATTCTCATGGACATCTGTCGCATCCTCCGGCCATTGGAGTTGTGACGCTGCCAAGGGGAGACCCCCAGTGTCTAATGCTCTGTAGCAGCGCCTGGGTTCTAGCCTCGGGGCTCGTAGACGACAGACATAACGGAAGTGAATAGTTGCGTGATCACACCTGCCTAGCGGTGATCATAGCTCTAAGTTCACGATATCATTTACGCCCTTGGTGAATACTAGGTCCAGGATACTGGGTGGGTTACCTGGTTTCCATCTCGTTGGGTGTTTGATGTGCTGAATCAGGGCTGAGTTGAGCACCAAGTCGAGCAATTTCTCTCCGAAACTGCCGGGTGGTACGTTTTCCGTCTGCCAGTCGACTTCATGAGCATTTAAGTAACCCAAAAGCAGAACCCTCCCGGCTTGACCCGCTACTTGACTTAGGTAGGCGATCAACTGGTAATCCTCCTCCGTCGAAGACCGAGGACTACGGTATGTGCAAATTATTGCTACTTCGCTGTGGGGTTGTTTTAGCAAGCACCCGGTGGATTGGACGTTTGCTGTCTCCAGGTTGATTACGGCTGTTTGTGTTAGGTGTTCCGCTACGAGTACTAGGGAACCACCTCCGATGCGACCATCAGTGCGATCACATCAATAGCCCATGAATCCTGGTGGGTGTAATCCTGTGGTGTTGAAGTTTGGTTTCAGTCACGTTTCAGTGACTACTATGCAAGTGACCGTTCCTGCTTCTCCTGGTATGTCGGGTCACGTGTCCATTAGGCTTCAGGCATTGGTGTAGAGAACATCCAATGTCTGCACCGTGTGTTCCCTTAGCGGTAAAAGACTGCACTCAGGGCTTAGGCTCGGGTGCCCACCGAGTTTGTTGTCTCGGTTGTAGAGTCCTTCCTATGTAAACTCCCGCAGATTGGGGTTACGGCAATAGCAGGCACCGCTTTCTGCGTTGCTGTTTCGGTGTCAAAGTGGTTTAAAAAAATGCCGATTCACTCGTGGAGAGCCCGGGTGTGCGGGCACTAGGGCTCGGTGAATCCTTTGGAGTGGAAGTTTGCACCCTTACGATCAGTCGCCTGGCTCTGCCTGGTGAGGTTGATGGCACATTAGCTACACTCTTCCAGCTATTCGCATAATCAGGGACTACGGTGATTTTGCCTTCTGTCATGAGCTGCACGTGGCCTGCTGCTGCCAACGCGGTATCCCGGTGTCTAGGCTTTTGGAATTCTACCAGTGTTGGTCTTGGGTTACCTTCGCTGACAACGTGAGAGGTTTCCCTCCATTTCCCCAGGCGCAGGATTCGCTTGATATGAACATGCCCTGGGACATTAGCAAGTCACAAGATATTGAGTACCTGGTGGAATAGATCGTGGTTGCGCTTGTGCCCTTCCCAACAATGTGGTTCAGCCAGCCCCCTAATCACCACGTTGCGGTTTCTTCCGAAAGCTATGTCCATGTTCGCTTTTAGTTTTCTTTAGACGCTGCCCAGCGAATTAGTGATTGTAGTTAATCAGTTTATTGAAGCCTCGTGGTCGTTTATTCTCTTATGGTGCCACTCAGATGTCGGTGCTGGTCCCTTATTGCATGGGCTTGAAACCTTATTGAGAAGAATTATGGGAGGTGAGTTCGAACCTTTTGATGGGACCAACAATTTGTGCCGATCGGAGTTCGGCGAGCCTACTTTGCTGAGCTTCCTCCTTCGGCCATCGGTTTTGTGGGCAACAGGATGGGCTTTTCCTGGAGCTTTTTCCTCATTAGTCCTGTTTGGCAATGCACTTGCGGCCTTAGGGGGTGTTGGGATTACCTTGGGCGCTAAGGTCTGTTTGGTCACCTGTACCTCTTCGCCTGAATCCTGGGGACGTTAGCCCCTTTTACAGTACCTATTGCACAAGTGGAGCAGGATACGGGGGATACTGGGTTTCCTCATCATGGATGCCATGCATTCCCTACAGGCCCACCTCAGGAACTTATGTTCCGAGTAGATACCGGCTGCTTTGGCTGAAAGTTGGCTGCATTTGAGATGGAACCAACTGTGGCACGCGTCGCACCGTATGACCTCCCTGACCTCCACCGAGCACCCTACCTTCCCACAAGGAAACAATGTGGCCACCTGTTTCGCTGGTGCCACGGTTCTCACTGGATTCCTACGCGTGACAGCCATGAAGTCAGCAATTATGCTATGAAACTGGGTATGGATATGCTCAAGTGTGAATGGAACACAACTAGTGCTAGGCTACCGGGTCCAAGGAACTTATGCTGCAGTAGAGCAGAGTCAAGTAATCAAATAAAACCGAGCTGGTTCACCTCTGAACAGTATGGTTTGCAGCCAATCGCCAACCTGGAGTAGGTATCGTCGCTGCGTCCAGCCACCCAGATGCCGACCAGTAGAGTTTTCCAATTGCAGACTGAACTCTTCGTGAAAAATTGCGGTGATTCCCTTTGACGTCCGTTGTATTTTATCCGAACTTTTAGGGTTCAACCCGGTCTTCCTTCCAATTCTATGGCGACTTTTCAGTCTACGCTTCTTCCCACCCCAAATTTCAAACCGACACACGGTACCGCAGTCCAAGGTTGACCAAATCAGTTCGCAGAGTTCGTTTCCCTTCTAAGTACGCTGAATAGGGAACAGGCGATCCATGCATTTTTCATTACCTTTTCGCCGTTTTTGACGTCCTAAGGCGTTTGAAAACTTTAAAAAATGTTCAAAAATTCCGTGAAAACCAAAAAAATCACCACGCTGGAAAACCTAAAAAAAACTCGTTTTTACATTTCGTGTTCCTACGGTTCCGCTTAGTTGAAGCATAGGCTTAATGCATCTTTTGTGTTGTTTGTTTTCACGAGTCTATTCTTTTCCAGAACCCAACACGCTGCTCTGAAGCCTAACCACTTCAAGATTTTTCGGTCAACTATGCTCAGTATGGACCGATTCACTTGGCACGTGTGTTGAACAATTTTTCAGAACTTTAGCAAAGACTGTTCTTTTTATCGTACTCACGACACCTAAGGTGAGGACGAGGTGTGAAGCCTCCTAGCATGCCTTGTGTTAGGGTCTCCATCGCCTTCTGGCACCTCCTTCACAAGTGGTTCGACGGTGTCCGACGCATTTAGCTGTCCACAGCAGGCACTTCACTGCGCCTAAACTCCTCTTCAAAGGAAGAGTTGTTCGTGGTCAAACTGTGTGATGTGCAAAATACTAACCAAATGATAAAATTCATGTGCATAGTGTTACTGCCTGTACATAGACCCTTAACCGGATTGCTTGAGTCTATTGTCCATACCTGGTAACTGTACGCTTCATCTTGACTTTTTTCGCATTTGTGTTCTATGGCCAATTTTTTCCTAGGTGGAGCGTTAATGGTGCAGATCAAGCGAGTGTTGCGCCTTTGGAAGTGGCAGGATGACAAACAGGCACCTAGACTAACCCTTGTAGAGCTTCATAACCCAAGGCATCGGGACTTGATGCTGGCAGCTTCCG